ATCCAACACAGGAGTGATATTTGATTTTCATTTCAATTATACTTAAAATAGTTCTCTTTATGTGGCGGAGGATTCTTCTTTAATAGGGCTTTAAAAAAATCGTTTTCTGTGTAATTTTTGAACAATAACACAAATTTGCACCAAGTTAAGTAAAAAAAGGAAAGAGTTCACTTTTGCACAAAAAATTAAAAAAATTGTTTAAAATTTTCTCTCACAAAGGGCAATAAGACTCATTTGGTTGGTTGACTTGACAACATGACGTGGATGAGAACTGGTGTCTGGGAGGCCTTGATCGATGTCATTTAGTCAAATGTCATTCCCTCCTCGTGTCAACCTGCAAAGCCAACACCAAATGGGAAAATAAAAGAGACTTGTAAATAATCAGAAGGGCATAGGAGAAGGAAGCAAGGCGAGTTGGCAGGTCAGTAAGGAAAGGGGCGGATTTCAATGACCTTTTACTCTCCTCCCCTGCATCCTCTTCCCTCCCCCAATGCATAGGTCACAGCCACAGCAACAAGGTAAAATGAGGGACAAAAGTTAACGCAAATGAGACAAAGTTCAAACGCCTTAAATGTTGTAAACTTTACTTATTTGACCAGTCATATGATTGGCAGTCATTTTGGGGTCATCCTGTTTCTTTTTGGTGGGAAGTGGTTTTCAAGACTCGAGCATAGCCGGCCCTTTCTTCTTTGTGCCCAAAATACAAGCATTCAAGCGTGCTTTGTACCTTCTGCCATCAAATGGGAAGTCTTGAGTCACCACAAGCACTAAAATGCCATAACGAGTGCTGATTGGCTGAACTTACGTAAATAGTCACCTTCTTCATCTCACCTTTCAGTATTAAAACGCTTGATGGTTATTCTTGCCTTGTCCCTGACTTTAAACTCCATTTACCTGTCCGTAAGTAATCTTGCTGATAAAACTGTTTGTTTGGGACACAGAGTGAATGAGATGGAGGAGGAGGAAGCGTTGAACTTGATGCACAAAACCGTTGATGCGGTTCTTTTTACAGCACTGCCTTTTCTTAACTCCCCACTGATCTAGTTCAACTTACCTACGCATTCATTTAACAACCATCCCCGGTCGGTGTGATGGAGGGTGGATAGAAGAGCGACGCCAGAGGAGGCGGTCGGCGGCGGCGGCGGCGGCGGAGGCACCGACCTCGGTTAAACTAATCATGACGAGGCAATGGCCTTTTTTACCCCTCCTTCCGCACGGCGCCGACATGTAAATTAAGGGATCGAGTTGTGCCTTAGATTGAGTAAACTGCAAAAAAAAAAGAAAAATTAAAACTGTATTAAAAAAACGCAAAGGCTTGATTGCTTTACTACTCTTTTTTTATTATGCATGTTATTTTTATTTTATGCACTCGATTGCTCGCCTTCTTAATTTTTCCCTACTCCTTTAGATTTTATTATTATAACTTGGAAAGTGTTTAAATAATTTTTTAAAAAATTGGGGAATGAGATGAAAGAAAATTTTACTTTAAAAGGGGCAGCAAATCGGTGTAAATCCAAATTAAACGGTGGGACGGGTCGAGGCGGCGGCGGGGGTGGTAAATTTGGGACGGAACAGGGCGGAGGAGGATGGGAAGGCAAAAAAAAAGCTTAAAGTATGCATTAGAATCAGGAATTCACACTTTGTGCAAAGGCAAAATTTCCGGTAAGGAGACAAACACACAAGTGGGTTTGGGGTAAATCTCCACTGTCGGAATGGTTTGCTGAAGGAGGGGAAATACCGCATGTCTTTGAACAAACGTTAATATTTCATTCAGATTTACGTGCAGGCTGGAACGAGGAGGAGGAGGAAATCAGGGAAAATTAACTTTCCAAATTTATATAAGGCAGTTGTTTTGCTCTTGGTTTGACTTCCGACACTTCCTTAACTCAATCCCTTTAGAGGGGGAGAGGCCGATGGGGATGCATTCCGTCCTCACCGACTGCCAACACGACGCACACTTCACGTGACTTCCTTCCAAAGCCTTTGCACCTAATTGGGGCCAAATTTGTGGTATCCGTGCTCATGCCTACTGCACCAAATTATCTGTCTCAAGGGACCCCATGGCGGAAATAATTTTAACACTTTATAAAAGGGAGTAAAGAAGAGAAGTGTCCACCACATTGGATTGCATTGCCCACTGAAACCTCAAATCGGTGTGAAATGCTGGTGGGTGGATAAAATGAGGCTTTCCACACCCACGAGAAGCGGCACGGGGCGATGCGTATTGAGGGGAGGAGAGGGGACAGCGGTGGGTGGGTGTTTAAATTTGTGACAGAAATAAAATAGCCTCATTAAATTTGGCCACATTTGCGTGCCACATTTAATTATGCATGTCCCTTCATGACAGGATATTTACAGGTGGTTGGTCGTAATATCGCCTTGCCGACCCAATCCCATGCAGTGTTATTAATCGTGTGAGCATGAGGGAAAAATTCACCGTCCAAAAAAAATTGAACTAATGGTGGGACAAAACAAAATTGAATAAAAAGGCATTTGTAATGTTTAATTTTCATTTTTGTTTTTTTTTTCTTCTGTAAATTTCTCTTCACTATCAATGCGACTGTGATGGAGAGGATCGTAACGGAGGCGACACGATGGCTCGTGGGACTGTGGATGTGCACGCCCATTGAGGTGGCTTTCACAGACCTTCCACATCAATGCTCAATCCAGACAAAGTACACCACCAAAAATCAGGAAATTCTGCGAAATGCAGAAATTTGTTCAATGTGGGAATCAAAATTCATGACAGGAAAACTCCCGCATTTAGGCAAATGGGAGAGGCAACTTGTAGAACGGAGCGTCTACAGACACTGTCAATGTTAAGACAGTTTTGATCTCCTCAGTCCACCTCTAGCAACCGTAGAATCTCCTGGATTTGGCACCGAAATGCACAGCCAATAAGACATCCTTAAAAAAGTGAAGAAAAGTCGTACAGATTCTTGTGAATGGCACCTCCATGCTGTCTTCATGCTTTCACTTCCCTAAAGGGGTAAACACAATTACCAATCGCAAGTCAGCAGGTTGGAGAAAATGAGTGGATGCGTGTTTGTGCTTTCACTGCGGAACCCTTTGAACTCTTTCACCTTCCGCTTTGAATGTAGTGATATTATGAGGAAAGTGTGCTCGACTTTCAATTTGAATAAATTTGGCAAGTTCTCAAATCGAGCAGTTTTTTTTTTACTGCCTCTAAATCAGTCAGTGTTGCAGGCTTAATGCAAGAGTTAAAGCTGTTGAGAGGTGACGGATTACCATCCTGTCCTGTAGTCGAGCATCATTCTGTGCGGTTCTGCTGCTCAGACGTTGGGTTCAGGTGTCAGGTGCTCAGGATCTGATGCTTCGGCCCAATTGGAAGGTGAGGACTGTACTGTCTGCAGCTATTGCCTCAAGCGAGGTGCCCAACATGTTGATAGGCAGCCTCTCAGAGTACCGCTTGTCGGAGTTCTGTGTTCTCTTTGAGGATTTGATGAGCCTGGAATTTTCAATGAGTCGTTATTTTTTCCTCTGAGTTCCAACACGTATATGACTGGAAGGGCAACACTCTACGCGCATTTCAGTGAAAGCACAATTGGAGAGGTTCGAGGGATCCAAAATTTACAAGATCTGCATTTTCTACAGTAAGGTAGTGAATAAGATCAAAACTTAATCGTGTCATTGAGTTGATAATCAATCGTTATGCGTCATCGAAGGACAATTAGTTCCAAAAGGTGACTTTTCTCTACTTTTTATACCTGTGTCAACCTCTTTGATGACCCTCATCACCTCCTGACCGATTTTAACCAATAAAACCACTATAAATAATTCTTGTTTAAATACGCCATTTATGGCGCTCAGTTTGAATGTGTTACATGTATTTTTAATTTACTTTTCCTGTCTTTGCTCTCATTCTTATGTTACAATTTATTTTACCTAAGGAAACAAATTTAATACTAATTTTTATATTCACGAGGAAAGACCTAAAAATGAGCCGTTCTTCATTCCAAACGTCAAGTATAATTACACCGAAGCAGTCGTGGCCCAGCCTAACAAGGTGAGGTTCTCTTGTCTCCTCCTATTTTTTTCACATCTGTCAAAGCATACCTGTCCCGTCTCTCCCTTCTGTCCGTTTTTTTCTTCCTTTCCCCCTTGTAAATGCATTTTAACCCCCTTGGGAGGGCAGCCCTGAGCAAAAAAAAGACACTCCTTCATTCCATTCGATTTGTCAAAGTAAATGGACATCATCCAACCCTCCTCTTTCATGCATACCTGTATTTGGTGTGGTTAAAAGGTGGTAAAAGGTAATTTTGTCCACAAGATATGCAAACGCCCTCCCACCTTTTGTCCGACAGAGAAATCCAATTGGATGACCTTGACGCTGGCAGAATGGAAAGGGGGAGGTGGAGAGGGGAGGGAAGAAAACTCTCCCATTAGTCACCCTGTTGTAATTTCCTTTCTTTGTTTGGGAACAAAATAAAGCAAGAGAAATTTACGCTTGTATTTAATACTCGACTTGAGTTTTGGCAACGCCAACATGCCCAACAATACCGACTTCAGAAAAGCGAAAAAAAGAAGTGTGTTTTATAAGTACTTACATCTCTTATTTAACAGAAGAAGTGAAGTGCAAAATAAAGTGAAGTTGACAAGATATTTTATTCGCCTGTTCACTTTTACTCTCTTTGCACTATACCATTTACAGAGTGATCATACTTTAAAGGTTGTAGCATGGCATGGAAGTGTATACAGTTGACGAGGGGAGAGAGGGAGCGAGAGAGAGAGAGGAAAGAAATCAACAAGGTGGTTGGTCAACATGCGTTTGTAGATGTCTACAGAAAGTAAACGGAAAGGAGGAAAGAAATAAACAAAGCTCTTGTACACCACATCAATGGATTGCAGAGAGAGAAGACTTGTACATACATTATTTATAGTTGGCAATGCTACTACAATTACCTCTTATCTACAAGAAGTTGGAGAGGAGAGAGACGGAGAGAAAGGAAACAGTCTGGTAATGCAAAATCTAACCATGGCTAACTACTTGTCATGGCTTCAATATCGGAAAGATCGGGGGAGGAGATTTTTCGAGGGGATCGTGTTGTCCAAGGATTGACAGCAGTACTACTTCGACCCGATTGACCTTCCTCATAGAGAAAGTAATCACAAGTGCAACCCTCAGCACTCTTTTGACTACACCGTCCCATAGAGCTCTTGCGACTTGAAGTACGGTGTACAGTGCGATTGGTTGATCTACTGGATCGCAATGACTTTCCTCTTCGTCTACGCTCTCTATGGCTGTGAGGACAGTTGGCTGGACACTGTCGACGGTACGCATGTCGTTGTTGACTATGACGATCACCACTTGAATATTCACTGGGAAAATCATACGTTCCGTCCATGGAGACACTGGACGATTCAGAGGAGTAGTCTTCATTGGGTTTTGGAGGTTGGTGGAGTTTGTTAGCCTCACCCACACATGGAAGTGTGGGATACCACACAGGAATGACACCACTGGAATCTGGAGCTCTCGAGATGTATGCAGGAACCATTTGAACCAAATGATCTGGTGCACTGGATGCAGAATGAAACAGTGATGTTGGTATTTGCCGTTCTGACTTTCGTACACTCCGTTCAGGACGTCTTTCACCACTTTTGGACGTCATATGACGGCCTTGAGATCGTCTAGACGTGTTTGCAGATCGAAGATCGTGGGTGGATTTACTGAGTCGATCAAGCGACTCCATCCAAATGGCATTGCCTTGTCGTGACAGCAACTCCTTACTGATGTGTTGGTGTTTTGAATTTCCATTCAGTGAATCCGGTTTAGCATCACGACGCCAGGCCAATTCGAGTTCATCGGTTCCACTGCCAAAGGAGAAGTCGCTGGTTGTACGATCTGTATTTTGACGTATGTTGGCTACATTGCTCTCAACAGGCACCTGTTGAACCAACACAGGAACATCGAACGTATTCTTGCCTCGTGCCTGAGATTGGTCATTGCAAAAGACAAATGGAGAAGGGGAGACAAGAACTTGTGAATAGGGATAGGGTGAGGAGACCGCCAGTGATCCATGCGGCGACTTTACATCACCTACAAAACTGGCTGTTTGACTATTTCGTGAGCGATCAGCAAGACTTGCTTCAACATTTCGAAGGTAAGTGATAAAGGTGTTAAAAAGTTGCCAATCTCCAAAACTCATTTGTAATTCAGTACGAAGCTTAGCAAGATCACAAACTGACAACACTTGACCGTTTATGTTTTGACGACGGACTTGTGTTTGATAAGAGGAGCAATTACTTGACGGTAGGTCAGAAATGGCAGACAGGAGTAAACAGATGTCATCCACATTCATCTTGCTCAATTCCACCACTGGTATGCTACACTAAAAGGGGAATAAGAAGGAGGTATTAAGAAAGATTTAATTTTGTTACTTTGGATCTTTAAATGCCTCCCTCACTTCTGATTGGTCAGTACTGCTCGAGGGTCGTAATGAGGTCACAATTATGCATTTCTTTTAAAACAACCTATTTGCATGAGTAAATCACTACAAAATACGATTTGATGTGGATGAGCACCAACTTAAAGAGTGTAACACCACATTGCCGCCTACAAGGAGAAGTGCTAGACACTGGGTTATGGAAGAGGTGGAGTGGATGCAGGAGATTGTGCAATGTATGTGGTAAGCCTTTCAAAGAATTAGTTACGTCAGTTAGACACAAGGAATTAATGCACCTCGGTTGTATGAGAGAAGTAAAATTGGTCTAAAACATTTTCCAAGCAATAGATGTAAGTGAGAAATGCTTTGAACAACGCCCTGCCTTGAGTCGTATTGGACACGGTGCAATAAGAGGGAGGTTGAAGGGATTCGCGTAGCATAGACCCTTTTCAAGGGGCTCAGATTCGACGGATACTGGGAGCGGAGAG